TCCACCCTCACCCCCACCCCACCCCACCCCCCAGCACTCGCCTTGGGCCTGCGGGAAACATCTGCCCCAGCTGAGTCCTGGTGCCAGCCCCCCTGCGTGCCCCAGACCCTGTCTTCACCATGAGCCCAAAGCACCAGCAGACCACACAGGGTGGAGGATGCCCCATTGCTCTACCCCTCCCCAGAGCTGCCCAGGGGTTTCCCTAGAGCTGCATGAGTGAGTCCTGGCTGGAGGCCGGATGCCTCCGTCCTTCCACAGCCCCTACCCAGTGCTGGGGGAGTGTGCAGAGCCCCAGGGGTCACCCCATGCCACAGGAAGCCAGGGTTGAGTGGGCTGCAAAGGGCTCACACTGGTGCTAGCCCCCACTACAGTCCCTGCTGTGGTAGAGAACAGGCATCCCTCTCCAGGGAGGCCGGGCATCAAGCTGGCCCAGAGACTGCAGCCCTGAGCTGATACCAGTGTGCGCAGGCCTAGTGCCTGCATGAGGCTGGCCAAGCCCCCAGGACAGTGCTGGAGCAGGCACAGCAGCCCAGAGCCAGCCTTGCTGCAGTGCCCATGCCAAGCAGCCTTTGGGTCCATGCCCCTGCCCTCTCTTGGCAGAGCAAGGCTGACAGCCTGCTGCTCCGGGAACAGCTCCGCAAGACAACCCTGTCCCCCTCACAGGGTTCTTGACCCAGGAAACTGCAGTGGAGCCTCACCCAGATTATTTCTTTTTCCTTTTGCCAGGGGGCTAACAGTGACACTTCCTCACTTTGCTAACGGTGGCCAGGAAGAGGGAAGACACAAACTCATCAGCCCTCTGTTGCTGCCAGATGCTTTCTGGCTCCCAGACAACAGGATCAAACACTGTGGGAAGCAAGCACATAAGGGCTGTCAGCACAAATGAGAGTGGCGTAGGTGCATGCCCGTGCCAGGCACTGGCCCCTTTTTCTTCCACAGCCAGCAATGCTCCTTAGCCCTCTTAAGCTGCTTTGGCTGAGTGTCAGGGGCGGGGGGGAGGGAGCAGTAGTGAGGGAGGAGCAAGTGAGCCACCCACAACTGACATAGCTGTGCATAAAACCAAACACATATTTTAAAAAAAAAAAAAACCTAAAAAACTTTTATTTGACAACAGAAGAACAAACAAAGAGATATTTACAGTAGATTTTTTGCTCCGCAAATTTCATTCCAATAATCCCTGCCTCCCCCCTTTTCCTGGTCCATCCCCAGGGCTGCAAGAGCAGCACGGCCCAGGCAGAGCTGTAGCGCTCCTGCCCCAGGGGAGGAAACCACTTTGGTTTGACTGGGGCAAAATAAAGGGAGGAGGCTAAAAAGCCCCTCCCTCCCCTGGGGGAGGAAACAGAACTGCAGGGGGGTGACAGGCTACCTAGAAATAAGGGAGGGAGTCCTAAAACTCAGGGCTTTCCCCAGAAAGGAGGCAGAGGGCAAAGGCTGGACATAAAATGGAGGTGGGGGAGATGAGGAAGGGGATGTTTGCAGCCATGTGATGAGCACCCACCCGAAGCAGAGCCTCTGCCCAGACAGGTGGTGCCAGAGCTGGAACACTGTTGGGGAGCCTTCCTGCAGCTCCCCACCAGCGCTGGGGAATGCCTCTCCCCCATCACCTTCTCTCTGAAGAAGAAAAAGGGGGGTGGGGGGCAGGGGGAAACACCAGTCCCCAAAAAATCAGTGCTTTCCCCTTCCAGGCCCCATCATCCCACAGTGTGCTGCTCCCCCAGCACCGCTGGCTCCAGCCCCTGCAGAGCACCAGATCCTGTGGACGTTATTACCTCTAGTCATGCAACTTAATAATCAGGCTAATTACCTAGGATTAGTGTTTCTCAGGATAGATAACATAGGTGCATATGCATCGCTATTTAACTTACATTTTACAGTGACACAGCAAGATCTCTGTCCCAGGACCAGCGCAGCTCCCAGGCTCTCGCTCCGTGACAGCAAGCAATGCCCAGCCAGGAACCATCCCAGAGCCCAGAAAAGCCACCAGGCCGGGCTGGGGGGGGGCCAGCCAGCTCCCAGCAGACACCAGTTTGTCACTAGAGGTCACCAGCACCGCACAGCCATGCTCGGCCCTGGAGAGCAGGAGGCAGGGGACGGGGGAGCAACAGGACTCGATCCCCCCACACTCCCAGGGGGGTTCATCAGCGCTTGGCTGACGGGACAATGCTTTCCAGCAGCCCCGGGCTGCCGGCTGCCAGCGCTGCACTTGCAGAAGAACACACACGCACCCATGCCCGCAACACGCCTCTGTCCAAATGCTTGTTGGGTTTTGTTTTTTAAAAAAATAGAAAATAGAGAAGTGGGATACAAAATTTCACAGTCTCAGCTTTGCGTCCGCCCCGGCAACAGCCTGCTGTCAGTGTCTCGCAGGCTCTGCAACGCGTGGTCTGTTCCAGGACACAACATGCACA